TGACTTAGTTTTCAAATTCAGTATTTTTAATTGCAATGCTTAATATATCAGAACCAATAACGACAACAAAATAAGAATATTTTTTTTTCTAAAATTCCAAGAGTGGAGTTTTAAAAATACAAACAAGAATAATTTTTTTAAACATCTAAGAACACAGAATTTCACATCAAGTTATAAATGAAAATAAATAAGTTAAAAAAAGATTGAGAGGAATGTAGACCAATATCTGAAAAGGACTTCATTTAAAAGGTTTTACTCCACACACACAAAAAAAATTATGAATGTTCTAATATTTGGCTGAGATGCTAAGCATATGACAAAGCGACTGTAATATCCTGGGTGTTTGTTAGTAGTCATATTATATTTTGTAAACAGTAGGTATGGCCGTCTTCCTGGCTACAAAATTGCATTATTTGTAGATTTGCTACTTTTCTCTTGCGAGGCAATAAATAAAATGAAATAAAAACTGGCCACGAAACTTGCACCACGCACATTCAAAGCGTTCAGTAAGATGGTAATTCCACCTTTGATCCCCTTTGCAGTCTGTGGAATATTGTAATCGTTCTACATCCCATGCATGATTGTAAGTTGATCAAATCAGTTATAATATATATTTGAATGTCTAGATTATACTTAAAAATGATCAGGATTCGTTTCGTGTGGTTTATGTATTTGTGTAGGAAACCAGAGGCCTAATATGTACGCACTAGCCGACGTTATTTAAGTCAGACCCTTTATCAATTTATTATTTGTATGGTATATTTGTTAACCAATAAAGCAGAAATCGATTGTAAAGATAGGTCATTCAAGCTAGCACAATTGCCCCTGATGGACTCAATAAGGTCAACGTACTGTAAGAAATAATTCAATGCTGTGTCAGGGTTCACTTTGATTTCTATGTACACTGTAGGTTTTGTTCGGTATAGAGAAATATTTGAATGTCGTTTATTGACTTTTTTGCTTCTCTTTCGCATTCCATACACAGTAAACAGTCAACGTGGGGTTTCCATTCTGTCTTTTCATATAAATGTTAACAAAGGTTATTTTTAGCTCTGGCGAAATTTCCATTCAGTTGGGGTTTTCCGTTGCGGTAGTTGCGAATGTTTGTTGTGGTGAAGTTGCACATCTGCCACATGGCTACCCCCCCCCCCCCCCCCTTGATACCTGAAGTCCGATGGGGCGATGGTTCCTTGCGTTAATTGGAAGATTCTTTGATCCGATATTTGAGTTCTTTTAAGTTTTTTTATATTTGCTTCGAAGGTGTATACACTGCTCTTCCGAAAAAAATATTTATGTTATTAATTATCAAGAGAACACATTATCTTAATGTAATTCGTTTCTTCAATACCATTACCGGCTTGCATGTCTTGCACTCCCCAGTGAAAAAAAAATAATGCTAATAATAATAATAAAATTCAATCAAGGCCAGATTAAGTCTAATCGACAGTGACCCATTAATGCACATGCACTGCAGAAGTTAATATTGAAAACAAAGAACGGCGAATATTGGCACGATCTTGCCATTTAAACGTCCCCAAATGCATGCAACGGGCCTTGTTATAACAACAATGCACAAAGCATCTATAATATTGCTTATAGAACAACATAGATGATCTTGATAAATAGTTCTATTGTTTTACTGACACCGTTTAGATGTAATGGCCGCCAGATTGATGAGCAAATGTTGGGTGAATGTTATTACAGGTCTGTCACTTTTCTATTTTGCAACAGGTGAGTATACATATAATCTCTCTCTCTCTCTCTCTCTCTCTCTCTCTCTCTTTCGGCAAATGAAGAAAAAACTAATCAAGCCCATGGAATTTAATGAAGCTCCACAGGGAGATATTCGTTGGGTTCCTTATCAACCTGCATGAACTAGACTCGTCTTTTATAACGTATTGTTTAAAAACACCTACCAGTTCAACATTTCAGGGCATATCCACCAACGGGAATTAGTTAAAGACAACTTTTCATTCTAAGAATATACAGATGCTTGAATGCATTGTATGGAGCTGTTTGCAAAAGTCAAACTGAATACAGCGTCTTAAATGTCAGTGCAAATTTACATTTGTTGTCTAAAGGGGGTTTAGGGACAATTGACTTTGTCAGTTGTATTTAGCTCATATGTCATTGGCACAAAAAAAATTAATAGCAAATGGGAAAATGTACTTACTTGAACTTTGACAACATGGCATCTCCATTTTAGTCGTGTCACAAAGCAGGGATGACGTCATCCTGGGAAGCACGTTCACCATATTCTGTCACGTGACTCTCATTCCCGACGGTTACTACCTGATAACTTGGCTTAAAGAACACCGAGGTAGTGACCCTCAACTCTACCAATATTCCATCACCAAAACCAAGACCCACATATCTGTAAGAAATACCACTAAACTAGACTTTTTAGATGGTCGAATATTACAAGCCGAGGTGGAGCCGTCGCGTGTGGCGACTGGGATGTTGAACATTGGAAATTTCTATCTGATACTTCGCGTCCCTGATGCAAGAATTACAGACGCTGGTAATTATTCGTGTTTTGCTCAGTTCATGGACCAGGGCCCTGTAGTAAACATCAGTGGTCAGGTGAACCCTCAAACTATTGACGTCATAGGTGGGTGTAGAGCCGCATTTTGCAACCGAACGCATTTTGCAACCGGTTGCAAAATGCGGCCAGTTGCAAAATGCGGCTCTACTTTACTCCTCTGCGTAAAGCTTGTTGTGATCATAACATGGTTTCTTTTTCTTTTTTTTTTACGTTCGTGGTTTTTATTTGAGACTAAAGAAAATGAATTTGAATAAAATAGGAGGTATACTTTTCAGTCTATTAAAAGTGCTTATCACATTGTTTGGGCAATTATTTGTAATTATTACTTTTAAAAATTGCTTTGAAGCTTACAATATGTTTTGTTCAAAATACACCCCACGCCCTTCAAACTTTGTGTCGTTTCGAATAATTGACAAATTGCCATTAAAATGCGTAATTTAGGTCCGCCGACTGCGCCAACACTGACTAGTCTCCAATATCCCAACGGGACCGTAGCTGTAACATGTAACTCAACCCATGGTCACCCGCCACCACAGATACAGTGGTACCAGTTAGAGGAGAAGTTCACTCCTGACAGGGACATGGTCTCACGAGGCACAGCCTGTTTGCAGGAGATGAATGCTTACTGCCTTGTCCCTAGCGTGTCAGAAACGCTAACAGTGGCAGGTAACATCTCGGCGTTTTATAGGTGCGAGACAGTTCACTCTACCGGCAGTCTCAGCAGTCCATCACTGATCCTACTTGGCCTATTCGACATAGGTGATGGTATGGTGAAATTAATATATATATATATATATATATATATATATATATATATATATATATATATATATATATATATTTCAATTATTTTTAACAGTAATTATATTGCCATTACTACTACTATAGGCCTACTGTAGGTGTCTACTTTGACTTGCATTCAATTGTTTATCAACATCACTTTACCGTTTAACGATTGCAATTTATATTTATATCTATCACACCAATAGACCTTTTTGTATTCAGCAACATAACAAAAGCGACTTGGATGGAATTTCACAAGGTCAATCCCATCGTTGCTGAAAGGAGCATTCATTTATGTGTCAATAATATTATTTGTTTATTTACTTTCTCAAGTTGACCTAACGCCCGGTCACAGTTCATTGTGGAAATACGCAGGGGTAGGTGTTGGGGCGGCGCTTATCATCGCGTCCCTCGTAGTGATGGCTAACTTCGATCGTGTAAGCAAAAGGTGCAGGAAGAAGGCAGAAAATACGGGTAAGCCACATGTTATTCTCTGTCAGAGATCACTTAAAAGGAGATCAGTCAGTTCGTCATAATGGAAACTGATTTTCAATCAAGGAGCAAGTATTAAGTCTAGGTCGTATGTTTTTAATTTTTATAATCAATCTTATCAATTGGCAAGACAAGTAACTGTGGATAACAAGAAAAATGCGTGTTGCGTTACAGAAAGCGACCGTCAGCCAAAAGGTCAATACATAGACAAAAGAAGAAGCACGGAAAGCACAGATGTGTATGATATTGAAAACGAAACTCAGGTACGTGAGCTAGCTTAAGGGCATTTCAAGATTATTAAATTCCAGGGTAACCTTCTCTCTCTCTCTCTCTCTCTCTCTCTCTCTCTCTCTCTCTCTCTCTCTCTCATCATTTCAGACTCTCTCTCTTTCTCTCTCTCTCTCATCATTTCAGACTCTCTCTCTTTCTCTCTCTCTCTCATCATTTCAGACTCTCTCTCTTTCTGTCTCTCTCTCTCTCTCTCTCATCATTTCAGACTCTCTCTCTCTTTCTCTCTCTCTCTCTCTCTCTCTCATTTATACTTGTATTCATCATTATTTCAGTTGGCGTGATAAGCTGTAAGTAAACAAAACCTAGGGACAAACAGTTCGCCAAATAGGAGAGAAAGCAGAAGACAAAATCGTTGGCAATATTTTACATCTTTATTATTTTTTGAGTCGCTATAAAATAGCTGTAAATTTGTATAAAGATCACAGACATACAAACTTTTACGTGAAGGTTCCCATCATAATTTCATCGACACGAATCGTGAAGCACAGTAATAAACAAGTATTTGACAATCAGACTTCCTCAGTTAACTTGTCAAAGTGTCAGAATGTGCTGGACAGCGAACCCCCCAAGCTGACCCAGTGTGAGAAACGACAAAGACCAGTGATCAAAATTTGACTCAGAGCGGGAAAAAGGACGGGCCATAATCGTACTGTATTTCTAATACGTATCATTCAGATTGTCGTTAATGGTTTACAGTTTTTTTTTATTTTCTGTACATAACTTTAATCGTAGGATTGTATGAAGTAAACCAATGCAAATAAACACAAAAAATCGGACTTTTGTTTAGTATATTTGCTTTATTTCTCAACTGAGAGATTAATTGCGCACCGACAGGCCACTGAGTAAAAAGCCGATGCATAGAATGCATGTATAAGTAATGATTGTGAAAGACAAAAGTACAGAAAAACAGTCATACAACACATAAATTCAACATAGAAAAAATCCGACAGCACACCACTGTAAAATATGCCTCACCAAGAATGTATTAATTGTATTTATACACAACACTTTTAAGTGTTAGAAATTGAAATTTAAAACTTTCAAGTTATCTTTGCCTCATTGTGACTCCAATGAGACATTGGTTGATAAATCTATCTACATGTATAGTGTGCGGCAGTCGAGGCTGGTCCAGGCCTGCCACATTTGCCCTATGTTCAGTAGGGAGATTAGTATGTAATAATAAATAATGCCGAGGGTTCGATCCTCCCATGCACTTATTAATGCATATGTTAGGGCACCCCCACAGGCTTCCATATTTCCCCAAAGGAGGAGAAGTTATACACTCTAAGACAAACGAATGACTAAATTCTCAGTCCTGCACTACATGTAAGTACCATGTTGTATCTATTTTTAAAGTGCTTTAATTTTTCGCAGCGGGGGAGGGAGGGATGTTGTAAAGACCTTCCTTTCTAGATACCAAAGATGCGTTCACATAAACGTTTACATATTGCATAAAACAGAAATAATAATAATAAACAATAAAAACAACAACAACAACTGTCGATATGTATCTAGGGATGTTTGAGCACAAATCCTTTTCATTCCAGTCATTGAGTTTCGATTGCCATATCTTTCATGTCAGGACTGTTCTCCCAATATTTGCATAAACGTTACTAAATAAAAACTGACTAGCTGTCCAGTTCAATTTTCCAAAGAGTAACCACCTTTTATTGGTTTACTAGAACGATTCCCTTGATATTGCTGGCAATGAGGCAACAATACTGACTTTTGCCATCCATCCTTTTATTCTGCCAGACTATGCATCTTCTTTAATGCGATGTATATCAAATGTTTGTATAAACTATAATAAGCTCTTACTTGCCTTGCTCATGCCGGTTTTAAAGCCGATGCGTTTAGAGGTCTCTTGTTCCGTAACGTATATTGTATTGCTTTATACTTTTGCATCTACTGCATTTTTATTTATATTAAAAAAACAGTCTTACAGCGATAAAATACGTCTTCTTCCCTAGGCTAGGCAAATAAAAGGAGCTAAACGCATCCGCGAGGCTGATATCACAATTGCGTTAGTTGCGCTTGCTTCGCAACCCATTGTGCTGGACGTTACATCCGAATGCTGAGTAGATATAGTGTTTCAAAGAAGTTCTTCCTCTCTGTCGTCGTATAATGCTGGAAGACAAAAAATTAGTTTGAAGAGAATGTAGTCTAAAGGATTTCCCTTTATATTATCGTATTATTATATGTTTATGTTGTCACTTACTTCCTTATTATCACGTCATGATTTATTCTACGAGATCAAGAGAAAGGATATCTTCAAACACACAAACGTATTAATCAGCATTATAAACATGCTTAGGGCTTTACCTGAAGCTATGGAGTTATTGTTCTCATTATCTCGCTCAGGGTCGCAGCCGTGGTCCTGATCTGGCGTGATAGAGTGAGCGCCATCTGCCGGGATATAGGTGACAGTAAGGGAAGATTTGTCTGGAAAGACATAGCATAAAGTGAACGAAAAAAGTTGATGCGCCTCCAGCTGTGTAAAGGAGCGTGTGCCAAAAGCGCATACTTAATGCAAATGTAAACAAATTACTTGTACATGAAATATGTGGTTTTATTACTTGAGTTGGCAGGTATGGGAATCTATTGTTTACGTATATAAAAGTCAACATTTTCTCTCTCCCTCTCTCTTAAAAAAAAAGGTTTAGAAAAACCCACCTGATATCGACCTAGCGCTACAGTTGACGAAAGCTTCGATGTCGTTACAGCGACATCTATCGAGTTTAAAGCTGCGACTTCTTAGCCGCTTACGGACAGTGTACACCATAACTCCCACCACGATGAAGAATGAGATCACGATTAAAATAGCCACCACAATCGCCAGAGGACTGGCCCCTGGTTTGGGCGGGCTCGGTGTGTTATTGGCGATGATGACGTAGTGATTGCCAGAACCTAGAAAAAAAAGGAAAAATAAGACGCATCTTAACTGTATATTGTACTTAGTATAGAAGTTTTTCATTTAAAGTAAGTGAAACCCGTACACAGTGTCCTTTGCCGTGTGTAAAATATCACATTCTCTTTTATAAAGTCCGAAAATGTCGCCGTAGTCGCTACGTAATTATCCTTTAAATTTTGTCTTTTATGACGTCTTCTTATAGAATTTCCAATATTTCTATATTAGAAAGCACGGGGAACTCTTAAAAACAGTATATTATATATTAAGGTCGCGAATATATTTCTAATATTAACAAAAAAATAGCAAATTTAATATCAAGATATCTGGCCTCAATTCGTTATACCGGGGTACATATCGACATAAGTAACACACCTGAGCGACCCCCGTGCATGTAGTCCGCTCTAATACTGTCACTGCGATAGTTCCCCGTAGGATGGCGGCTTTCACAGGCATATGTCACTGACGAATTGTCCTGTACGGCTATAGTGTCCGTGATGAAATACCCTCCGCACATGCCCTCGCTCTGACTAGAAGCAGAACACGTTTCTTTGTGTTCAGATTTCACGCTACTCATCTCCTGATCGTTTTCAAACCACCTGAGCTTTGCTGGGGGTCGACCCCCCACAGAAATACAAGTGAGCAACGTGCGGTTGTCCGACGTCCGCCTGCTAGAGATCATCGGCAACTCTGGAGTGACTAAAAAAAAAAAACGCTCAATATTAACGTTGGAAGGACACACAGTGTGTAAGAAACAGTTGGTACACAAATTGCAGGGGTGCAGTGCTGAGCTGTTCACTAATATGACGTCAGAATGCTTAACAGGTCCCCAGTCTACGACGCAAGTTGCCGAGGAGGTCTTTGATAAAATTAATATAATAAGTGATGTTTTAACAGGAAGATAGTATGTAAAATCATTTGATTTTTGCGATCATATGGCGCTGATGTTTGGTTCTTTCTAGATAAGAAATAAATAAATCTAAAAATCACTTAAATACATATGGTGTTTGAAATAAAATTTATGACGTCATACAAAAATCTTCGCCTATTTTGGACCCTTTTATACGTCACACACGGTTCATGCGTCGTCATTACATTTACCTGTCATGGTAACTTGCATAAGTTTTTCACTCTTCTTTACTTTACTTCCGTCTACAGACACTTGGCACGTATAATTCCCTTCATCTTTGAGTTCTGACTTCATAATTGCCACTCCTAGCTTAATGTCATTTGGCACTGGTATCAGCTGTGACGGCATTGTGACGAAATTAATATCTCGACCAATCAGATCGCTTAGAGTTTTATTCTCCGAATTCATGCCTAGGACGTATTTGAATATGACGTCAGGTGGCTTTTCCGCACTGGTCTGTTTAAACCACTCGACGGATAAGAAAAAACGTCCTTCATCTGGGCCCAGTGTGAAATTGCACCAGGCGGTGAAAGGTTCACGTAACTCCACATATCTCTCTTCCGCCCTGTTGGTTATCGTTAAAGCAGTGCATACTGAAAAAGAGAAAAGATTCATAAATTTTAATCACTGACTCATAAATCTCGCAATGTATATTTTAGTTTTACGAGATAAGACCCGCGCCTAAAGGAAAAATAGAAAAAGTCACTGGAAACGTGCAAGTCACATGACTGACTAAATATACAGTCGCAAAAGGCATGTTTTAGTAAACGTACCTGTATAGGCACGGCAATATGTAATTCATGAATAGAGTTCAGTCAGATTACACTTCCCAACGTAAGATATTGTGAAGGAAAGTTAATATATTTGGGGACTAGAGCATCTGCACGACAATTTAGAGGTAGAGTGTAGAAAAGAAACCTACTGACCATCTGATGTAATTGCGTCGCATTAAATGGTAAATTGTGAGGTACAGCTGGATTACTTGCGAATGATCTGTATATATCAATGAAAATATTTTAGACGAAGTTATTTAATTTATACGTATCAATCCATAAACTTTTCCACAGCAATTGACCGAAGACGAACCCTTAAATGAGTTTTTATTTGTCTTTTCAAGGCATGGACAATAGTGAGTTAGGTGTCAGGAGCCAACGGTTTCACACAAGCTCTAGCGTTTCCACTTTTTCTCCCATTTTTCTTGTTTGTTTATCAGTTATTTCCAGCTGCCTTTTATGTTTTTATGTTTGTTCATTGAATAATTGATCCTGCATCCGACGGTAGTGTACACGAAGCGTGAGAGACGGACACATTTATAAAACTCCAGGTATAAAATGTCATACACAAAGTCAACAACCAAACACAACAATGGGGGTTAATGGAACTGGAAATGGGCGCATTAGTAGATTACCTGTTTCAAAGGACCTTTGTGTAAACTTCCGAGAATACGTTGTATGAAGATCTCCGTTTTCAACATCGGGCTTAGAAAAGGCTTTCGCTTCAGAATTTTTTCAATAGCATTAATGCGATACACTCTGGCGATAATATAGCCATTAGCAGGTGTGAGTGGGATTGAAATAAGCAAGCCATGGTGAAGAAGTTTCATATTCTACCTTTATTTTCTATTTCTACATATTTCAGGAAATTCCATTTGAGAACTTGACAGAAACCCCTGTGAGCAGAAATTCTTTAACTTATTTACTTCATCTAAAATTTCAATTCTAAATCTAAAGCTACCCCACCTGAAACTTCCCACTGATACCCTTCCAGCCCATTTCCCAAACAAAACTCAACGCCCTTCCTCAAAAGGGACATGGGGAGAAATATCAGGCCCACAGAGAAACAGTTAAGTAATCGTAAAGGCCCCGCTATATTTACCAAAAACCATACATATTCACACAATAGAGGGGTATTTCCCAGCCATCTCTAGATTGGGCCGGCGAGGGTGAAATGCTTATCTCTGTGCACCTAATGTTTTTTTTTGTGTGTTTATTATTGAATTGCGTTTAACGCTATATATACGTTGGAATACCAGCCCGTCCTTAGTGTCCATATAACTTTAACGCACAATATTAATACTGTACGTGCCCAGATTTTAAAATCAATACACTGACCGATTCGTGTTAATAAAAGTATTTGAATGTCACATATCATGCTAAAACCATACTACCGTCAGATGTTGAAATGTGGCCTCATTAAAAAAAGTTGTCTAGTTCAGTAATTGATAGTTTCAAGCATTCATTTCTACCATTAAATCCGTTAAAACATTATAAACAAGAAAGTAATGACAGAGAGTATCGATTAAAAACGTCGGTAGCCAAACACAGAGGGCATCCCTTAAATTAAATATTGAAGCTTGTATAACAAAGAATGATAAGACTACGTCAGAGAAAGAGTAAAATTAAGAGACGCCAATAAAAGAACAATATTGACAAAGAGGAGCTTGAAGTCATTTCTCGGTGACATCTGTGGTGGTTCTGAGCCTCCCTTTCATTGAAAACAAACAACATGTATTCCCTTATAGTCTTAACAGAGTAGCATGCATGGATATAATGATGCGAAAATGCCTAGGGTTTGTTGAAAGTATGGATATTTCCAAAAAACAAAAACACACGCTCAGAGAGAGAGAGAGAGAGAGAGAGTGAGAGAGAAAGAGAGAGAGAGAGATGATTCTATATTCATTCGTACTTCGCAATTTAAAGTTCTTAACACAATGGCTAAGACAAACATGATAACAAATAACCGTAAAATATGAATAAAACATAAGACAGATAATTTCTTCTTTAAGCCTTGGTACACTGAGTAATACGAAGATAGATTTTGCGTGACAAATTGCGCCCATGGAGTAGAAGAATCATTAAGCGTACAACTGTTAAATGGCAAATCTATAATGCATAATATTTGAGATATTTCTGAACAAGGTAGCAATATCAGGTACAGTAAATCCATTTTACCTATTTTCACTGGTAATTATTTATCGATTCATCCAAAGGCGGTGAGGAGAATCGCCATACTTTCCAAGAGCGGTATTCTCTTCAACTTTTATCAATTATTAATTTTACTAATGTGTTTTGTTGTTATTGTGAATGAAATGTCAGTTGGCAATGAACGAAGAGGACAAAGACGAAAACAATGTTTGGTTACTGTACCGGTATATAATTCTGAGTCTCTTGGGTAGGTTAGTTAGCGGAAGATCGACAAATAACTCAAAGGCAGCCTATACTATAGGGGGCGATTTCTCTGTGTTTTGACATAAAGGGAGTGTCGATTGTACTGCGAATGATCAGAAAAATATCATTTACAGTTCTGCCCCTCTTTTGACTTAAAACTCTGGTTAAAATGATTTCGCTGTCAAATTCTAAAAATTTTACTAGTTGAAGGATGAAGAGGTCTGAATGTGGCACACCAGTTTAGGATAAAACCGTTTTTTCTATTGCAATTAACTTCCTCTTTTATAAACAATACCAACGCATTATCTCTGAAAACCAATAAAACAGCCTCCTACACTTACATCAACAGTTAAGTCACACTTAACAGGAAAACAATTACAAGGGGGAAAACATACAGCGGTTTGATTCCTCAGCTGGGTGAAATACTATCGGTTAGAATTCAATGGAGAGCACACAGTCGAGACACATGCTCGATAACTGACCCGCGGCGCGATCAATAAGGAATCAATGTCCATTCTAACCCATTGTTTCAAATAAAGAACACTAATCATCCATTAAAGGGCCTGGCGGGAAGATTATAATGCACGACATAAGGGTAGTCAGGGCAAGGGTTCAATTACGCAGTCCCCGACCCTCGTTGAACCTCGTTGTTGGTATTCCCCGGCATGACGAGGTATTGATTCGGAATCAAACACAAAACAACACGTGTTTAGCCGGCAGAGATTGATCCGTGATCAATTAAAACAATTCTTTGTTACGGCGTCTTGTACGTGTCTCGGTCCTTAAGCGGTCCCTTAAGAGGAGGATTATATTTTGATCATACAAATTCATCCTCTACTTGTAACTGCTTAACTTCCGACGGGTTCCTACTTTAAGTAATTGACTACGGAGTGGATTACTACAAATCGTATCGTACATATACGAGTTAGGTTAAGCGAGTGCGCGTGACACGTGGCGAGGAATTTGATACCTCAGGACGTGACTAGACATTAATATATTTTTAACAAATTCTTGCCTGGCGTAGTAACATTATACTCAAAGGGTAAATCTACCACTTTTTTCATGTTTCATTTCTGATGTACACTGTGTTTTTTTAGCCAGGATGAAGAGGTATGAATAATCTTTGCTTACATTTCTTTATTGTAAATCTTCTTTGCTTACATTTAAATTGACAACTTACAAAGATGATCCACTTTAAGCTCATACATGTACGTATATACACACACTAATGCCACGTACAGAACAAACACACGTACACCAACATACCAAAGAATAAAATGTCCGAATAATAGTATAACTTTCACTTCCGACCACTGTAGCGCTTTAAGACACGACAACAAGAACCCGGTAATTAAGTAATTAATATTTGCAATAATAGAGCTACTAACAGAGCTACGAATCGCTATCATAATTAGACCCCATCACCTGTAACAGCATCATTATTTTCATTCTAAACTGGCCTTAGTTCCCGTGTGGCTGGAAAAGCCCCATCGGGGAGATAACTTGAATGTACATTATTGACTCCGAAGCGTCTGTATCACTTGCGATAGATTAAGCAAATACTATTTGATAAATTGCTTAAGTCAGCGTAAGAATTATACCCCCAAGACCTTTCTTTCTGTCCCATTTATCATGACCGTTAGATAATCAGAGAAATACGTGTTCTGTATTTGTGATTGCCAAATTTGTGTAGAGTATAATCGGTGTCACTAACTTCAAGGAAAACATATATCCTGCATTTGAATTGTAAACTATGTTCATATTTATATTACAGACGCAAAATTTATTATGCAATAATAGATTATATGTAATACATAACGTAGTGAAATACGGGTTTAATTATATTGACTATGATTTGTGGACAATTCCATGCCCCCTACAAGAACTGACAAAACTATAGCGGAGCAAGTAATACGTTTCACAGTAAATTAGAGACGAATTTCCGAGGAAGTTGACCTGGGCAAAAATCAATTAATATTTGTAACGCGCAGTTTGTGTATGAATTCAAATACACCCAGGAGAAACGGTTTTATTAAATCTTAGACGAAGATGATACCGTGTCGGCGTTTATCGTTACCTATGGAGTCGCATTTCAGTCCTTGAGTGGATTTTATTGCGATTTTCGACAGAAAAAGAATCCCTCAACAGCAATAGAAAGCTTGGTCAGGACCATAATC